TTTGGTTTTTGGTAATCTGAACGCGTTTTTCGCATCTTTTGACTTTTGTCTTTTGAAAACAGTAATTAGGTTAACGGTTTTGAATGATAATTATTATTTGCGTCGTGTGATGTAATTGTCAACAGATTTTAAATAATTTTTAGCTATTCGCTTTCTGATGTGCAATTGCTGTTATATAAAAATAATGCGAAGTCACTAATGACGCGCCTGCTGCGCTTATTATTGGATCAAAAAGTACAGGAATCAATTATAAATGTTGAACCAAAAAAGATTTTATAGTATACTAGCATTGCCCGCGGCTCCGCCCGTGTTCAGATGACCAAAAACCAAATTCTGAGGTTTTACATATACAGACAAAAATTCTAAAAACTATAGATTTGGACTCTGTATCGATAATAATGTCTATTTCAATTAGATTTTCCAAAAAAATATTTAATGTACAGATTCGACGTAGTTACAATTTTATTATATGTATAGAAAATTTGGAACTAGCACTAATTCTTTGCCTGTACCTATAAGATGTATCATGTTTAAATAACCCAAGGTTTTAAATAAGTTTAAAGTTTGTTGTATGTTTGTCACATTACCCTTTAATTAATTAATTATAAATGACATATTTTATACATGAACGAATTAACTTCGTTCATGATTTTATATTATTAACATTTCTCTAATTTATACTAGAAACTATAAGAAAGCTAGGAGTCTTAACTATACGACCTATAAAATATAACTTGCTTTTAAATGAAGGAATTAATAACACTGGCGGTTTGTTTAGATTTTGTTCGTTGAAGTCTTTTCTTTACCGAGTCGATGCGATTTCTAGGAAAGATAAGATTGGAACAAAAGACTATTGTGGCATCCAACAATAACTTCATTTTGAAAGGAAAATATTGGTTTCATTAATTGTAATCGAGACTTTTGCTAAACGACAGTCAAATCTATTTACAATTTGGTTTAAATTACATATAATATCTATCTTATAAAAACGAGTTAGCGTTAGGCTTACACTTGTTCAATCGTTTATTTTTTGGTATTTCAATTAAAATCATTGCAAATTCCACACCTATATGTTTAACATATATTTTTATAGTGTTTTTCAGAGAATTAGTAATAAGTGAAATCGATTTTTATTCAAAATTTGCATACATTAATTTACTATACATATGAAACCCACTTATCTTTAGTAAACAATATTTAAAAAGACGTTTTTAAGCAAATAAAAAGGTCATAGAGACAGACAAAGATAATTCTAGAATTATGATATGTATTTTCGGCAACGCCTTTCGCCTTTCTAAGTCGCAAACGTAAAAGTTATGGTCAATAGAAATGTAGAATTCATTTGAATATCAATTTATCTGTTACTTTAATATAGTAATCCGTCCTGCGCTTGGTCGATTATTATATACCTACATACATTTATACATACAATAAATTGATTGTTATTTATAATTATTCGTCTACAGGTATATAATGTACATATAATTCTTAAACAATGGTAAAGTCGTGAACGGTTCGTGCATAATGCATAACTTCAATGCTTCGATTTAATTCACAAGCATTGGCTTTTCATAATATCAATGATACGGTTAACTGAAATACCGTTGCAAATACGTGTTTTACCTTAATTTATCTTTTTCCTCCTAATAACAATATGCAAATTGTTCTACCGTTTATAATAATATTAAATAAACAGCAATTAACTCTATGAATCCATTTTGTAGTTTCATATTCCATACTTGTATGAAATTTGAAAAACGCTATGCATATTACATATATCTGTCTCTGTCTCGCATCCTGCCATTGCATGTCACAGTCGGTAAAAATATAATGATTATGAATAGCTTCAATTTATCAAATCCCATCTTAGATAACTAGCAAAAACTGTAAAGTGCCACGGCTATTAGAGAGCTATATAATTGAGCAGGCGAGTAAATCAAAACGGTGCAACATTAGTGCGCGAGCGCAGACTGGAGGCGAGACCCCTTCAGGGGGAGCGGAGAGGGGGAGAGATGGAGGGAAGAGGGGGGACGGGTGAGAGGGGGGAGGGGTGTCGGTTAGCGAGTGGAAATTTCCATTGCCTAAGCATTGGGTCGTAATTTGGTCGATAGCAACTCGCCGCCGCGCGTCGACACGCGGCCGCCTGTACAGTACGCGCGGAAACTTGTTTCACATTACTTCAGTGTGGCCATATTGAAAAAGCAATTCGACCCAGCGAAAACATGATACGGATTACACTCAAATATTGTTTACTTCATGGTTTAATCATTGCTTTGGATTTGTGTTCGGACTATAGTATTGACATAGCATTGGAAATAAATGTTATGTGAAACACACAATTTTTAAAATATCGTTTTTATTATAGTTTCGGAATTAGTTTTGCTCATATTGAAGTTAAAAAAATAATTAGAATATAAAACATTATTTTATAAACTGTATTTTTATACGATCACACTGAGTTATGTAACTGATATATTTTTAGCCGCATGTACTTTTCTTACACACATATAAATTCATCTAAGCTACATTTCCGAATATGAAACCGGCAAGAATGTGAATTGGAACTGGTATTTTAATGCTTTGGTAATTTTCCTAGATCAATTTCCTTAGTTTATTAGTTAGACTATACGGAAAACTTCATGAAATATATTGAAATATTGATCCAAAGAAGTATAGCTATTCTTAGAAATACGTTGGTTAGAAACGATATATTTGCATTATAATATAAATAATGGTAAAGTCCCGGACTATTTGAATTTCTTTTATGGTAAAGTTACGGTTTTGAGTCAAGGTAATTCAATAAAATTCATGTAATTTCATAATATGAATAAATCATATTTCAAATAAGAGCTTCTGAGAATTTAATATAAATTTTGAAGTTTTATTTCGCTAAGAATGTACTCAAGTGCGTCGCTGCCAAACTCGAGCGCGTTTGAGTCTTTTCCAAAGGCTTATAAGGGTTGAAGTTAAGGGGTGGTAACAAAAATTATATATTTACATATTAATATCACTGTTAGCACAATGCTTAATAATTTTAACCAATTTTATTAATACAACACATATTTTATACAATCTTCAAATTGTAAAATTTTGAAAAGGGGAAATATTGAAATCTATAAATTTTATTATATTATTAATGAATAATTTAGTGCTGTAAGGACTGAAAGATTAAAGTCATAGTAATCCTTATATTTATCCGTGTATTACACATTATACATAAATGTCTAGGTAAATGTGAACACGGCTGTGACAAACAAGCTTTTCCTCTAAGCGTATTGTTAATTAAATATATAATAGATAAATTACGGTATTTTATTTACCTTTTAAAAAAATATCTATTATGTAAACATTTTTTAAAATACTAACTGTATTTTTAATATCATTAGAATACAAACGCTTAAGCATGTTTTGTAATTCATTTATAAAATATTTTATTGCAATTATTAGTTTCCCTTCGGGCAATATCATTTAATAATATATCGAATTTATTCCTTTGAAATAATAATATCAGAACTTTCAACTATACAAATTTCACCTACATAATATATACGTAAATATGTAGATGTCAATAGCTTCTCATTTAGCAACAGATTTATAGTAGTCTTTTTATATCTAAATGCATACGAATTGCAGAGTCTCTCTCGTCATTTGAATTTGCTATATTTTTTGATAAACATTTCATTTTTTTAATCGATATTGGCATACTTTGAATTGCAGATGCGAGTGGCATAACATTTTATACCTAGTTTGCTATTTTAAAGTAAATATTATGAGTATTAAAATTAATGAAAATCGTTGAAGTCGTATGTTATATACTATATTTAGATGTTCGTATTATCGTCGGTCGTTTTTCAAAAACTCCTGCTTACAAAAGACCCTCTTGTAAAGGTATCGATTTAATCGTATTACGTCATCGTGACTAATAACGCACACATCGTGTGTGAAACACTAACCGCTGAAAACTTGCAGAGAAAAATCGCGTCTATTGCATCACAATCGGTGTAGAAAACCATAATTTTCCTTTGTAGTTCCACCCTAGTTCTTGCACTTACGAATATTAAACAAACGCGAGTACTTAACTCTGTTTTATCTTTTGGTTAGCATAATGCGGACTAAATAATGGCAACGGCTTGTTTAGTATTGCTTTGGGCTTAGTGTTCTGAAAACTATACTTTGGGGTAAAATTAATTAATACTTTGAAATTAACAATGTACTATAAGGTAAATGTACTTTAATATATAAGGAAGGTTAAAACAGAAGTTTCACAGAGTATTTAGGGCTTTGATAAAATATATAATTACAATTTTATTACATAAAATAACTAAAAATAACTGCAAATACGTTAAAACTTTAATTAGGTGATTTAAGATTTTTTTAGAACCATTATGATTTATGTAGAGCCCTTGTGATTTCTTAAATCAATTATAAAAAAATATGATTTATGAATAATTAACATAAATTATGCAACGTTTATTCGACTTTGGCTCTTATTAGTACAGTTTAAGAACCAGTTTCGTTTAACATTTGCTTATCAAAGATAGAGAGAGTACCCGGTTGGAATGGTGAAAACGAATCGCGAATAAACGAGCGTGTAAAGGCAGAGGCAAATGCATATAAAGCTAGCTTCTGAAGGTTGACCCGTTACGTTTTCTCTTAGTTAATCTTCTGTAGATTAGCTTACTAAAATTTAAATAATTTATATCTACAGAGATGTGTTTAAAATTTATAGGCCATAATAAACATTCATTTCCTAAGCTCAGCTATTTTAATCGGTTATATCGCATAGCAGTTTAATTATAACTCGTTAATTCATGTTTATAAATATAATATCATTATATGGAATATATAATAAGTAGTATAATAATATGTAGGTTTAACTTCATACGATATTTATTTAACTATTACTCTAGTAATATGAACAAAATATATAAAAAAGTCGCTCAGCACCCTAGAAAGTGTAAAAAAAATAGTTTCGCAAATCCAAATAAAAATAGACTTACCTTAAACACCGCGGGAGCTAACGGTATAGCCGCTTGATTGTGAAGATGTTTTTTCGACATTTTCGCTTCCAAAGAGTCGCGATCACAAAAAAAATCTACTATAAAAAGTCGCGATTTTTTGGAAAATTTTATAATTTTCGTACGCCGTTTTGGTATTTTTTTTAATTATTTTAAATAAAAAAATAGCCACAGTCCTGGGATAAGGATACGGTAGCAACGGACGTGTTATCTGTACTGTGGTCGGCTCGGCAATGAGGGGCAGCGTCGTGTGCTCGTGACGACACGCTGACGCCAAGGAACCTACACCACTCGACCTACACCGTACACTGTACACTGCAGTCTGTACACTGTAGTCTGTACTCACATGAAACTATGATATATTTATAATACACAAAAGAGACATCACATACAGACACAGAATCTAATAGGCCTATGATGTCAGCATCTCTACATTCAATCTGTTTAAAAGAAAGTTTGCAAAACTTTGAAATTGTAAACAAAAAATATCTTTATCGAAATCTTGACTTGAATGCTTTTTAGATAATGATCAATTTAATAATAAAAGATAGCTTGATTATTTTTTTATGTCCGTGACGACTTATAGAGACATAGTGTGAACATGTGGCCCGTGCTTACATACTCGGTAAATAGTGAAGATAAGGCAGAAAGGGAAGGTACAAACTGTACTGTTAGTAATCTTTTAAATAATTTAAGATTACCGGAGAAGATAAGAAATACCTTAAATTTTATCAAAATGCTGGAGTTGCAATGTCTTTATTAAAGTAAAAATTAAAAAAACTCTGTAACTGTTAGTAATATCATAGAATTCAATTGAATGATGGCATAGGTAGACGATATGTGTATTATATATGTATACACATAGGTACAAAAGAAACAGTAGTTAAACCTCCCTGATACACCCCCAAAAAACAAAAAAGAATTATTTAAATCGGTCAAGCCGTTTTTGAGTTTTAGCGAGACTAACGAGTGAACGGCAATTGATTTTTATATACTCGTATATAGATTATACATACATTGAGACATTTTTATACATTTTTGAAGTAGGGACATATTAATATTGTTAAATAAAACTATAATAATATACATATGCCTTATAGTATTGGTAGTGGCTTTTTATTCCCCATTCCATTCATTTCCGCAAATGCTATGTTCCAGTAACTCAATATCAATTTCACAACTAATATGAAATTTAAGACATTAATAATATTGTGTTCAAATTCATTAAGACGCTTAGTCTAAATGGTGTGCTGAATAATTTTTACGAACAAGGTACATAATACATACAATGAAAATCTTGTCCTTCTGAGGCAGTCGGGTAAAAAGTAAGTAAATATTTAAATTAGTTATCAGAATGGTACAGGTAGACTAGCGTTACCTTCAATTCTCAAGTCCTAACTACGCGCTAATATTTTTTCAGCCTTATCAATTTTTATGTAACCTTGAAAAGCAACGCTCTATATTAAGATTCTATGACACCATATGTCAATTGACACAAAGACCTTCATGGGGACGTGACGCTGGAAGAAATGACGTCGATTGTAAATTTATAATATAAATTGTACCCTTTGACATTAGCGAAAAATATTAAAGATATTTACAATATCGTAGGTAAAATATGGCCAGATATCATATTATCATGTACCAGTATGATAAGTTTTTTGCTATTTATAAGCACACAACTGAACAGGCAAATTATCAATATCATCAGGACACTCCTGACTTTCATGTCTCAATGACTAGCCATCACGCCGAAAATTTCTGCAGGAAATCTTGATATCAAATGATAGAGATACTGAATTATCAAGGGAGTTTATTGTGATGAGTTTCACGAATTATAGGATGAATTTTGAAAGACCAAAGCCGTGATTTATTGGTCATACATCCCCGAGGCCGGTAGCCATAATTGGCTCTACCCTAAAAGTAGACTGACTTGAGCTAGTTCGATTAGGGGAAGAACGCGAATGTTTTGGCCAAAGTATACAACTTGGCTAGAACTTAATCTGAAAATCAGACCGTGTAATAAATAGGGAAGCAAACATGATTTTGACGGAGTATATGTAATGTCTTTATTTTTATATAAAACATATGTATTACATTGTTTAGTGACTATTGTTATATATTCGATTTGATAATATAAAACATATATACTAAATACATCAACTATATTACAATATTTAATATTATCTACTTTAATTAAAAAATATTCCTAAAGAACTGGATTACAATATAATGCTAAATTGGGGTGTGTGAAGTTCCGCGAACCTGTTTACTTGAATGAATGAACACATTTATACCTGACGCCAACACCAAGTGGGTAAAAAACTTGTCCGATTGTAGCCAAAACATTTAAAGACGGGTACTCAATGGGGTGAAATGGAAAAAATCTTTTTGTGTCTGACGGTACCTTTCCAGAAAGCTATATTACTTGTTACCATATCCTTTAGTAGTGTTTGTAAAAACTTGGAAAATATGAGGGGCAACATAACTTTTATTCTGATCTGATTTTATTGTAAAATATAAACAGGTAATTTCATGTGATGGAATTGTAATTGGTACGACTTTTAAGCAGTAACGATTACTTTTTCAGTTTATATTTAAATATTTTTATTTTACAATAGATATATTTTATATATTTTAAAATATATATATTATTTTCAATAAGGTATAAGAATATTTATAAAATTTAATAATTGATTAGAACATTCTCTTCAACGAGGACGCCTCTTCATTTTTCTCTTCACTACTGAGCTTAAACTTATAAATAACTTTTACGCAATAGGTGCGTATACATTAAAAATATATGAAACTTGAGATTCCCTCATATATTACAGGAAATATATAGAAAACACTAAATTATATTATATAGAAAACACTAAATGTTTAAATTGCTAGTCGGATACGCATAATAACGGGTTCGGAACCCTCTTTAACATGTGTCCGACGACCGACTTGCACTTTTTCATTTAAATATTTTGTAATTTGTCCCATCAGAGAGAAGTAGAGAACATAATAAGAAAAAATATCAGGGCTATCTTTAAAATATACCTACCATGTGGATTTAAGGTTGCTTCATTAAAAGTCAAGGCTAAACTGAATTTGTATCTCGACCGGAAACTTGGGACTAAATTCAAATAAGATTTATGCGCGTAGTTCTTAGATTTTTTAGTCATTTGATCAAAAATAGCCTTATCTGAAACTATTTTGACAAAAACTTTTAAGACAGGCGAATTCCATTTAACAAGGTTTTAAAATTGATGAGTTATTGATAAAGATTATGCTTTTAATACATATTTATATCTATAAAGTTTAATTTAGTCTATACTAATGACTCACCCTCGCTCTGTTCGGGTTCATCCCTAGTTACGTTTTAACGTTTAGTTCAGGGGTGAGATATTTTCCCACACTAAAAAGTATCCTATATGTTTACCCGGATAACCAGCTATTATTATACCAAATTTCATTAAAATCTGTCTAGTAGTTTTTTCGTAATGCAGTTACAGACAGACGAACAAAAATTCAAAAACTATAGATTCGCCCCCTGTATCGATAATAATGTATATTTCAATAAGATTACACACGTATAGATTCAGCTTAGTTAGAATTTTATTATGTGTATAGATAACCAGTGTTAAGGCGTACAGCCTTGTGTTAATTCTATAACAATCAAAAATTGCTTTCCGAAAATGTATACGTATGTAATGTTTGTGATTAATATAATATCCTCTATAAATTTAAAACACTTTCAGTGTTGATGAAAAAGTTCGGTTATTATTTGGATTATAAATCTCTGTACCACATATAAAAGTCGCGTTCAATCTGATTCCATATAATATTGTATTGTACTTATGATTAAATATGTAAAAAAAATACTTTATTGTTCTAGATTATCTCTTGTAAATCAGTTATGTAAAAAACAATAAAGTTTTATAGACGTCGCCCCTTGCATGCGAATGTTGAAGGAAAAACCCCGTATTGACGAATCCTTGTACCGAAATTTGGTGGCAAAACAAAAGGCCGATGGTCAACTAAACATTCATTTGCTTACTTCTCGATTTAGATATGTATCAGAATTTCAGTTTGATACCTATGATGAAGGAGCCATGTATAAATTATTCCTAAGCCATAAATATATGAGCATTTCAATTTCTTTTTACGCCTAAACACAGACAGGTGACACATGTCATCTTTATATCTATCTATACATATAATAAAATTGTAACCAAGCCGAATCTGTACATTAAATATTTTTTTTAAAATCTTATCGAAAGAAACAATTTTATCGATACAGAGGCCTATTCTGTAGTTTTTAGAATTTTTGTCTTTCTGTCTGTCTATCTGTCTGTCTGTTACCGCATCACAGAAATACCACTGGAGGGACTTTGATGAAATTTGGTATGGTGATAGCTGGTTATCCGGGTCAACATAAAGGATACTTTTTACTGCGGAAAAATGTCTCATTTCTGAGAAAAAATACAAAATTGCATTGTAAGAGTATACTAATATGTAAAACCTAAGAATTTGGTTTTTGGTCATCTGAACGCGGGCGAAACCGCGTGCAATACTAGTTTTCTATACAAATGTTTGTTTTGGTCTGATTAGCAAGAAATTATATAATTAAAGTCACGATCATTGCCACATACACATTTAGTAATAAAAATATTAATAATCATTACAAATGTAGAGTATAATGTTGTCCACTCTGTATAAAATAGAGAATGATGAGTAAGAAAATATTTTAGCAATATTTTCACAATTTCTCCTTTTGATATTCGACAAAACTGGAAGCTTTTCTAGTTAAATGTATGAATAAAGCTATTGTTCAAGAATAGTACACAATCTCATGAATCATATAAAATTCTATATATGTTTCTCAGTCTCCATACAATCAGTAGTACGCTCTCTGATTTTTAAAACACTTATGTACGTTTTGTTCAGGGTGAATATTTAATCATGCGCACTCCCAATAGACATACACTATTGTTCGAAAGTGTAGGCTGTAACTACAATAGCGCGCGTTAGGCATAATACAAACTACCAAA